ATTTCACCATTGATTTTAAACAGAGGGAGGAGATTGTGATTTAGTGCTCAGCAGTGATCAGTTTTGTTTTTAGCTATCTTCATAACCCAAGTATTTTGACTTTTCAGATGCCAATTCTACAGAGTTTGACCCCAAGACCAGTCATCCTGTGGTGAGTTTGTGTTTGAACCTTCCCAGGGTCAGAAGGGGCTGGAAGGGCACTCAGGACGCAGCGGATGGTTAGAGACAGGCATCGAGCCATGCAGCTCCCTCCTCCAGAATCCCGGGGTCTTGTGCTCCCAGACCTAATGGTTAGGAAAAACTATGGAATCCTCACTGATCTTTCCAGTTCACTACAGAAAGCCTTTTAAGGTGCCAGCCCAGACAGCTAGAGGGGATTCTGATTAAAATAGTTTTCTACCCCCACTCCTCTGGGCTCCCTGGAGTAGTATTCATATGAAGTACTCCACATGCACCTGCGTGCCCGCTGCTGTCCTCACTGTGCGCACCAGCTCGTGTTCTCCAGCAGCAGTCCTGGGGTGGGATTGTAATTAAAGAACTGCTGGGATGTGGTACTGATTTGTTTAATGGTAACCAAAGCTTTTCCAGGCCAGCATACCTGGTATCATCTCTCACTTTGGTCACATGGCCTGTCAGTCTGCCATATTATTAAGGCTTACTGGGGAGGGACGGTGCCTTTATTCATCTTCGAATCCCCAACCTAGGAGTGGCAGGCATGTTGAAAGTCACTTTTTTAACTTCAACATTCAACACATTCTGAGTACCTGCTCTGTGCCAGGGGCTCTTCTTGTCACTAAAGACACTGATGAACTCAGTGGACAGGGTTCTTAATCTTATGGCAGGCAAACATCACCTGACATTGGACTTTGGGGTGGGGGAATGGGGCACAGAGGCTGCCCTGGAGGTCAGAAGGTGCACCGGAGCACCAGGCTGAGTGGTGAGCTGGCCTGTCCTCTGGGGTACCGTAGCCCACCCCACTTGGTGCAGGCCCAAGGACTGGGCAGCTCCTCAGGACTGCAGAGGGATCAGATGTCCTGACACAGCTAGGCTTGTGTCCATGCTGTGCCGTTTGTTCTTGGAATGTGCGATGGCCTGGTTCCTTGTCATCCCAAGTGTTTAGGGGTAGGTACAGTGTCATGAGGAAAGGCCAAAGGTTTGAACCCCTGTCCCGGAGGTTTAAAATGATTACTAGGAGACAGTTTCCTGAGATAGCGTCTCTTACCAGGGAAGGCTAGAGAGGTAGGGCCCCCTCACAGGTGGGCTGCATTCAGTGGAGGAGTTCCAGTCACTAATGAAGCAGAGTTTGGTAGTCTGTGTTTGTTTTCTGAACGTCTCCAGGTCATAGACATGCCAGAACACAACCCTGGGCAGATGGGAGGAACCATGAGGCTGGGCAAGAGGAGAACCCTGTTCCAGACCAAGAACTCAGTCATGAGTAAGAGCTGCCTTGTGCTGGCCTGGCCTCTGGCTTGGCCTGTTCAGGATGTGTATCGTAGCGGGGTACTGGGGCTCTCAAGAGTCTGCCTGGCTTTTTTCTTTTTGTTCTTGCTTTTGAATTTTTTTCCCTCCTCTTACTCATCTTCTGCTAGGAGTACTATGGTAGGCAGGGCAGCAGCGTGGGTCTTAGATCACTGGCAATGCGATCAGGACTCTGGGATGTGGACAGGGCAGTTAGGTCATATCCACTGCAGTCTGTTTCTTTCCTATACTGTTAAGTATGAAATTTGATGATTATTATCTCACAAAAATGACAATTTCATATGGGTCAACTCAAATAGATTTTACTCGAAGAAAGTATTAATATATGCTAGAGATGAAGGGAAATTGGGCAAGAAAAAAGTACTTTTTAAGACATTTCTCTCAGTCCACCCCCTCCGCCTCTGTACCCCCAAAATTCTGCCTTTGATTCTGTGGCAGAGGTGCTCTTGTGTTACTGTTGGGGCTCTTTGGCAGCCTAATTTTGAGTTGCTTGAGTACTAGTCTTCCAATTCTAGTGCTCTGTGGACTTGAGGTCTCACTGGAGTGGGTTAACTAAGCAGCCCATTTGCACACACGGTGCCTCTTTGCCTACAGCCACCAGGTGCTGGCACCTTCAGACACTGACTTGAACTCTTGTCCCCAGAGTTCATCTGCGAAGCTCTAAACTGTCTCTCTTCCCATACTGTCCTCAGGGCTCAGGGTGCTTGGGTCCTGGTCTGTCTTCCTGGATAGCTTCTATCGGCGGGGCACCCTGTCTTTAGCTTGATGGAGGTGGTGAGCCTGGTTCCATTGTGATTCTTAGTGTGTCAGAAGGAGCCAGAAGCCAAGAATTAGTCTAAATTGTGCTAAGAGCAGGAAGCATGGTTCAGAATTCCAACAGCCCGTCTATGTGGATGATAACAGTCCACTGTGAAGTAGGATGTGGGTGTGAAACAGGGTATTTGGCAAGTCAAAAGTCATAAATCCAGCGTTTTTTTCCCCCAGGAAAACTCTATGGAGACCCAGACTACTTGGAAGAACGGCACCGCCATCGATTTGAGGTGAGAATTCCAATTCGTGTTTGCTGTTTTCTGTTACTTGGGAGACACAGTAACAGAGATCAGCAGTTATTTTTCATGGATCAACAGGTGAATCCAGTCTTGAAAAAGTGCTTGGAAGAGCAGGGCTTAAAGTTTGTTGGCCAAGATGTTGAAGGGGAACGGATGGAGATCGTGGAGTTGGAAGGTAATTGCTGAGATAGTTGAATTTAATGAAAAATGAAGTCAGATTTCTTGGCACATGGGAAAGTGTAAAGCCGTGTGTTGTTGCTCTGGACAAATCAGAATTAGCATTGTCTTGTGAGGGGAAGGGTCTTGATGACACAGGCGCCAGAGCCCCAGGAAGTTTATCCTTGTGTGTGGCCTTCCGCAGGCAGCCAGGTAACCTTAGGCCTCCATTCTTCCTCTAGAAAGAGGGTGGACTTGATACTTGGCCCCTTTCAGTTCTCACATGAGCTGTGTGGCTCAACCTATGGAAGTCACAGGAGCCAGGGGACCCAGGGAGGGTCTATGGAGAGGAGCCCCCTTAGCTGGGAGGGGACAGCAGTGCTGGGAGAAGGGGATCAGGTCACTCGGACTTTGGGGTTGTCTCTACCTAGATTCAGATGGTAACATTACTTTGAAATAATTTAGGGTTTTTTTCTGGGGGATTGAGCCCAGAGCCTTGCACACATTTGGTAGTTACTCTACCACCAGGCCCCAGACTGTTGGCGTCGATTTAATAAGACGTTTTCTCATCTTTCACATTTTCTGCCCAAATACCTAATGGATCCTTTGGATTTCTATTTCAGATCATCCTTTCTTTGTTGGAGTTCAGTACCACCCAGAGTTCCTGTCCAGGCCTATCAAGCCCTCCCCGCCATACTTTGGCCTCCTCCTGGCCTCTGTGGGGAGGCTCCCACATTACCTCCAGAAAGGCTGCAGGCTCTCGCCCAGGTGGGGACACTGCTTCAGCAATCAGCATTTGTCTTCGCCAGTCCTTTGGGGGTCACTGGCTCTCACAGTGAGGTGTCACACAATCAGTCCCAAGAAAAAGTCATAGGTGTCATGGCTGGGTCCTTGGATGAGACACCATGTGTTCCTCACATTTCCACAGAGGTTCCTGCTCTGTCCTGGGGTTTCCTCAGGCTGCTTCCTTTGGTGTATTGATCAGGCCCTACTCTCTCTAGCATCTGGTTCTGGTGATTCTGCTGAGGAGCATGTTTGGCAGAGATCTGTCCCCTTCATGTTAAGGGGACAGGGTTTTTCTGCAGGGAGTATGCCACACCTCAGGGGGATTTGTACTCTACTGCCACCTTATCTGAGGCTGGTTACTCTGAATGCGTGGTTATCATTAACTGAATGGTAAGAGGAAGGAAATCCCTCAACAGCCTCAGGCTGAGTGTACTGTGTAGTGGAGTCTGATTTGTGCTGTGCGGACACATGTCCCTGCAGTAACAGTGGCTACAGAAACAAAAGTATCGTGAGGGTTTTGGCAGGAGAAGAGGAATAAACTTTCTGTATTCTACAGGGACACCTATAGTGACAGAAGTGGGAGCAGCTCCCCTGACTCTGAAATAACTGAACTGAAATTTCCATCAATAAACCATGACTGATCTGGCAATGTAAGTGATATTTTTTAATGTTAAGTTGGTCGTTTTGTTTTGTTTTGTTTTTTTAAACAGTGATAACACACTAGGATTGTAAGAATATCATGAAAGTTTGGTGCTAAGAACTTTATTTGCTAGAGAGTGGAAGTGGTAAGGTCAGTGTGACCATCAGTGGGCCACCCTCTTCCAAGTTACCTGCCCTGCTCTGGGGGCTGCTATGGTGACACCAGTCACTGGGCAGGTGTCACATGGTTGATTGCTTCACAGAGGTGCCAGTCTGACCAACTAAGGGACTGGGTTCTTAGGCCTTGTTTCATGAAGTTGTATAAACTCAGAGATGGTGAAGGAGGTGACAGGCATGACAGCATGGCCTGTCATTTTGCAGCTCCTCAAGCTCTCAAAAAGAAGTGTTTCAGAACTGATACTGCTTGCAAATAGTTGGTTTGATTGCTGCTTATTCTGAAAATTCTTCCAAATTCAAACAGCAAGGAGGCTTTGAATGTCTGTTTAGTGACAGGGTTTGTAAGTTTATAAAGAACAATAATTATGAACATTGCCATGAATTTTAAAAGTCCTTTAAGATTACAGAGTAAACTGTATTTGTCAGAAATAGATTCTGCTGGTGAGGGGTGGGGTCTGGAAGGGGGAGAGTATGGTCCACTTTGTTGGTGGTCCTGCTGCAGCTAAGAGAGTTCCTGCCCTGAGGCAGGGCAGGTGGCCCTCCTGGATCCTGTGTGCCTGTACTCATGCCCCTGGGGCTTCTGCTGGCCTAGTGCTGGACTGATTCAGTGATCTCCATCGATTCCCCTTCTGCCTTACTGATTGGCCACCTAACCTGTGGGCGTAGACAGATGGGCAAACATGAGAAGTCAGTCAGCATCAGGACGGCCTGGGTTGCTTAATCTGTGTCAGGTGAGCATGTAACAGAGGCACCCCCTAATCCCTGACCCCTGACCAGGAAGACAACAAGGGCCAGGGGCAGGGGAATGCAGGTGGGCATTTGGTCAGCCACATGGAGTTTCTGTGGAGACGTGCCTGTCAGCAGACCAGTAAGAGGAGGACACTGTGGACAAAGAGTGCTTGTGTCAGGGCCAAGGCAGAGGTCTTAAAAATGTGTGATTCTGTAGGAATTATAAATTTAGCTTCTGATTATTCATATTAAGTTCTTATTGCTATTCTACCATGAAAAACAGGCATTGTTCCCCATGGCAGCTGACTGTACATTCTTAAGTTTTCTACTTGGCCATCATATAATTGCTAACATCTTTTTTTTTTTTTTTTTTTTTTTAAACAGGGATGATTCTTCAAGAGAACCTTTGACTTTGACAAGAGTTTACAGCTATGATTTTACACTCGGCTTTTGACACTTCCTTTAAATTATGTTTTTATTAAGATTATTTTATTATGGGGAGAAAGGTATTTGGAAAACTGTCATTGGCATGTCGCATCATGTACACCGTTTCCGGGCCTGCCTGCTGCTTGGCCTTTCCCGTGTAGGTCAGGAGGTTGTGAGATGGGAAGCCCACATTGAGACGGGTGCTGACAGCAGGGGCTGATGGAGGCCTGTCTACCACCTTGTTTCTCCAACTACCTCGTGTCATTGTGGATTCGAGCGTCTTGCCTGTTGCTTCCTTTGGGTGCCCAGGCCGTTGCTCAGTGCAGGTGGCTGGAGCAGACACGGGAGGATCACTGAAGCCGGTGCTTCCCCTGTGGGATGCTGGTGACCTCCTGCACCGCCTGTCACCAAAAACAGTGAAGCCAGAGCTGAGGCCTCAGTGTTGCTCTGAGTTGTGGAAGCTCTTGGTGCCAACTGTGGCTGGTCCTTGTCCTCCAAAGGGACAGTCAGTTTGGTGTCACATGATGCAGCAAGAAGTTGGTGTCTCTGAAGTATGATTTTAAAATTGCACCTCTGGCTGCATCTCCTGGTCCTGGGGTTGGGAGACACTCCTTGCATCAAGGGGTCACTTTAAAAAAAAATAATAAAAAGAATCTTGGTGGGGAAACTGCCTCTAAACCCCTCTCATATATAGACAGCTTTGACCTGAGGGTACTTTCTTCTTCCAGAATGGTGTTAACTGCAGTTAAAATGCAATATGAAAACTATTTTCTTAATGTGATGGAATAGGCATAGCCACTGCCTACTGTATTCTGGCTGGACTCCATGTATACTCTAACTTAAGAAATAAAAAATGCAGAACAAGAGATGCCTTTTCATTCTCTTTATGTCTGTCACTGGCCAGGAGGGGAAAGCTGCAGCGTGTGGCTGGGGTGCCGCTGGGGCCTGATGCTCCTCTGGCCTGCAGCCTCAGTGAGCAATCCCACAGTGTTGTAAGCTAGAGGCGAGCCTTTCTTGTGAATAGGAACCCAAGTTTTCAAACAGGGCTTCACATCCTGGTTCTCACATGTCAGGACAGATTGAAAGTGACATGAGTGCCAAGTGTACAGCTTGTCAGGGACAAGGGGGAGGGAAGAAGTGCAGGCCCTTGCATAGGGTGCCTTTTTGCTAATTGCAAACTGGGCCCCTCCCCAGAGATGAGAGTGGCCAACCAAGGATCTTCTGAACCAGTTCGACTGCTTTCTCCCCGCTCTGCTTCTACCCTCAGCCTCTGGAATACGTCCAGCTCATGGTCACTGTTCTGGGTAAGGGGTTGATGACAGAGGCACCCACTCACCCTCTGGCTGCTGAGCACACCTCTTAGAGATGAGCTGTCTTCTCTGCTGAGGCAGGTACTCAGGCCTCAGGCCACCTGTTCACCAGGCTAACTAACAGCCTTCACTTGCTGAAATTTGAGATAACTGGGTTTGGGGAGGGAAATGTGTTTCTCACAAGTGAGTTGGCCCAGCTTCTACTTCAGAGAGACTCAAGAGAAGTAGACTCTTGTCCTTCCATTCATGGTCCAAGGCCACCAGGCAGGCCTGGGAGCCTGCCTTCCTGCTCTCTGACCAAGAACAAGTCACCTTTGTCTGCCTCCCGTGCTCACAGACTGACCTAAAACACTTCCACAGAGCTCTTCATACTTGTCTAGGGCTTTTATTATGGCTGGTTGAGCGGAATTCTGACCTTATGCTACATAGCAGCCTGTCACTCCCCACACTGAGGGAGTGACAGTTCCCTTGGGGTCACCATTGTCCTGCCACTGAGGACTTGGGTGGGTATAGGGAGGGTTGGAAGAGCTCCCTGTAGTCATGTTCTTGCCCCTGGTGAAGATTCCCTTAAGATGACCAGTTGCCTAGGTCTGGCCACCTGCAGAACCCTTCTGAGAAAAGGAACTCCACATAGCTCTCCAGGGACTGCAGAGCTCAGCCAGATGGTGTCGGCCTGCCATGCCAGTGTCCATTGACCAGGGCCCAGAGGTTTCTCTATGGTTGGAAGAGACTTGGTGGCATCTCTCCTGGGTTCTGGGCAGTCTGAAGCAGCTGAGCTAACTCGGAGATCACCTTGCCTTTGTAGAAACTGGCTACTTCCCACTAAGGGCATTTCTGAGGATTGCGGTGCCTGTCTCATAGAAGTTGGCCAGAAACTCTGCTGTGGCTTCTTGAGTAAGGTTCCCACCCTCATGCCTGGTGCTGGGGATAGAACCCAGGGCTTTGTGAATGCTGGGCAAGCACGCCACCACTGAGGGACACCCCAGTTCAAGTAATCCATTCTTTGTGTAGCTCTTGAGCAGCTTCAGCCACCCTGGGACAGCCCACCGGGTGAGTTACAGACAGAGACCACCATGGTAGGTCACGTTGCCTCTCTGCCCTTGTGCTCTTTCCAACAGCCTCAGACCCTGATAAACCACAGAAACAATGTTTACACAAGAGGAAGTTGTTACCACTAAACTCTGGCTTCACCTATTCTAAGTCAACTTAAAAATCACTGATTTTGGAGATCACAAAGTCTAGCTTTGCTGTAGATAACACCTCTGATGTGTGGGTTATGACGATAATGCTTGCCTAGGTTACCTTTTCGGAACTTGAAAAACACTTGACTATTTGGGCTGCAGATGTCCAGTGGGTGGCTGGGATGGGTGTCTCATATGCTTGTCTCCTTTGTTTCCTTAACTTTTGGGTTAGACTCTACTCAGCTCTGCCTGTAGATGTGTCAGTTGCCTTTGGAGCGGGCATATTTTCTTCTTCCTGCCCTTGTGCTTTTTCTGCAGCTAGAGCAGCCCCCAAACCCATAGTCCTTTAGCCCTGTCATAGGCCCAGATGGAGCCCCAAGGCCAGGGTGTTTGCACAGGGGGATGGGCACCAGCTACAAGAGTGGTTCCCAGGCAAGTTGACTGTGACTGGTGGTATCCTCAACATCTTTTGGAACCATGCTCCTGGTCAATGGAAAATTATCAGACTAGCCCATCCCAGCAAATCAATAAAAACTTGCATTTCCCTTTATTTAGGGAGCAACCTGGGCCATCGATGAGTGCTGTTTCCCTTTAGCAGAAGCCCCAGTTAAAGCTTTGCCTATACATTTGGGCTCATTTCACTTGATTTGCTTCTGTCATCACTGAGTCAAAAGTTTTCATCTCTGGTATTAGGAGTTTGGTAACCTGTCATGATACATACATGACATGATACACTTGGTCTCTAACCAGTGTGAGTGATGGCCAAGGCCAGGCTTGAATCCTGTCTGGTAAGTGGGAAACCAAGTCTCCGAGCAGTTGTGAGTGGTCCAGGCTGTGAGTGGCTGTCGAGTGGGGGTGGGGCTGGGGCTGGGGGAGTGCAGGTGGAAGGAGTTGGTGGGCATAGCTGGCATGGCTGGTTCAGGGGGCAGGAGGAACGTGCAGGGCTGAGTACAGGTGCTGCTCTGGCCTTAGTCTTGGCTTGGCAGTAGGAAAGGTAGAGGAACAACAAGAGCAGGAACCTTCTCCAGAGCCAGGGTTGGGGGTGCTTAGAATGGGAGTAGGCCTTTCCTGTGCAGGTGCTGCTCTGGGCTAGGGCCAGCACCCTGGGGACTTCCTGATGATGACAATGCCTGCCCTGCCCACTGCTACTCTTACAGGCAAAAAAACTGAAGCAAAGAGGTGAGTGCTTTGCCTTAAGGCACGTGGCCTTTAACATGGAGCTGAGCTTGAGGCTAACGGGGCTCCTGTCGCCACCCACAGCCTTGTGTGGTAGGAGCCCAGGGTGGGCTGTGTCTCCTGGACAGAGGTGGATAGAGCAGGGAACACATGACCCAGCAGCGTCTAGCTGGCTGACAAAGTGTGCTAGAAATAACCATTTGCACCCCAGGGTTACATGACTGATTAAGGATCTTTAACAATCTCAAGTTCCAGCAAGTTAGGGGAGAGGGCTGCAGGATGGCCTGTTTGCCTTGTAAATGTTTCCAAACATGCCTTACTGGCTATGGGGGACCTTCCTAAGATGACAAGTTCCTTTCTGGCACTGTCTAGCCGACTGGAGTCATAGACCTCAGCTTGGGCTAAAAGAGCATTGAGGGAGAGGGGACATTTCCTTACAGCTCAGCCATAGGATGAGTCTGGCCAAGTTCTTTCTGAAAGTCCATGCTTGGGGATGTGCTGCCAAGAACATTCTTGGCGACATACAGAGGCTGCTCTGGTGAAGCCACGTGGGTCTGTGCTGAAGGAACAGGAAGCCAGAGCTCCCTCCTACCTGCCTGGCCCAGGTGCGTTTGTTGCTAGGACTTAGCCCAGATCAGAAGTCTCTGCCTCACCCTGTGTAGCTTGGCATTGTGCAGCCGCCCGTGGGGCCCTTACAGGACACAGCAGGTGCAGGACACAGGCCGCTGTTGCCTCAGCTGCTGCTGGAGCTGCTCCTTTTCCACCGTCAGCACCTTCACCTTCTCCTCCAGCTTGCTCAGCTCTGTTGTCCACTTCTGAGGGGCAGCATAGCACAAATGGCCAAGCTGATGTCAGCCCCAGCTGTCCACCCTCACCCTGGAGCAAACTATAGCCTGGGGAGGGGGGAAGCCATGACCCAGGCAGCCCTGGGCTCTTAAGAGGCTACAGAGCACGGATGTGGGGAGGGAGTCTTCCTCTGCAGCCTCCCAGATGCTAGGATAGGCACAGCTGCCCCATAGCCACATCCTTCCCTCAAACTGACAGCCCCCTTTGCCCTCTGCCTTTCCACCACCTGGCAGTTTCCTCTTTCAACAAGACCTCCCCTTGGGACTATGTCCAGCACACCCCTCCCCCTGTCTGGAGCTCCCCCAAATGTATTACACAGTCCTTGGGGTTTTCTTGTAACTCTCCAATATTCTCATCTCTCCGTTCTCCTGTTGTTCTCAACAACAGAATACCTCAACCACTCAAGTTGGGTGGGTGGGGGTGTCAGGCACCATGGAAAGAGGGACATAGATTTTGAGGAGACTGCTTGGGCCTCTCCCCTAGCCACTGGACAGTGTACTATAGGGGATGGCCCTCCTTTGTGCTCATGGGTTGACACAGGACACAAGGACCCGAGGACACAAGATGGTCTGCACAGGACTGCTCAGAGAGGCTGGAGGAGCTGGGTTGGCTGGGCCCTGCCCACTGCAGCCTGGGCCTCCTCACCTGCCTGTACCACTCCTGGATGGCGCTGACGGACAGTGGCCCCTGGATGCTCCCGTCCCGCCGCAGGAACACCTCCCCCTGGTCTGTCTCGTACAGCTGGGGCTCCCCTTGGGTCTTGGGGGTGTGCACAGTCAGACGGAGTACCTTGGTGGGGGAATGGCAGCTTGGGTGGAGGCCACAGCTGACGCTGGCAGCCCCAGTCCTGCCCAGGACTCTACCCTGGCCCTGGCTCCTTAAGGGAGCAGTGGCTCCTAGAGGGATTCCTTTCCCCACCCGCCTGCTCCACTCCCCACCCCTGCAAGTAGCACAGGCCATTGTCCTGCTGGGCCATGACAGATGACAAGCCTGTCTGTCCCGCACGCTTACCTTGAGAGGCACATTGGTGGTGGAGGCACTGATGACAGGGATGAAGGTGAGGGTGTAGGCGCTGGGAAAGACCTGGGGCTTGAAGCTCTGCAGGATGGAGTCCACCAGCAGGCGCGCTCGGTCCTCATCGCGGTGGGTGCAGCGGATGCCCTGCACCAGGCCGCTGTCCTCCACGCCCACTAGCAGGCTGCCTCCTTCACTGTTGAGGAAGGCGCATACATAGCGCCGCACGTGGTGCTTGAAGGCGAGGTTCAAGTACTCGCCACCGCCCCGCTTGAACTCCATGTTTCGTGTCTCGTTGCCCAGGAAAGTGCCCTGGAAGAGGTGCTCCTGGCCCAGGATCTCCTGGTGCACGATGGCGCTGTCAGAGCGCACGCCGCTGGGCCGGTTCTGGGAAATCTGCCACTGATGGGCGCAGTGCCACCTAGATGAGGAGTCTGCAGGTCCTGTTGGCATGGGGAGACTGGAGCCATGGCTGAGACCCGGGCTGGGACCAGGGCTGGGGCCAGGGCTGGGGCCTCGGCTTGGGCCACTGTCCTCCTCCTGCTGGGGTAGGGGTCGAGAGTAGGGCATATGGATCCGTGGGAAGTCAGGAGCCCCTGTCTTGAGACCAACTGCCAGACCTCCAACAGCGCCCCTGCCTGAGGTCCAGCCCCCGAGGACATCCTGATGCCTCCTTTAGTCTGATGGCCTAATCTGCTCACCCTCCTGCCATCAACGTGGGACCACCCTGCTGGTTCAAGGGTCTAAACCAGCCACTGCCCCTTCCCCTCCTGGCCTCTTTCTAAGTCTAGGTGTCTAGCTTGTGGTATGCCTGGGTGGGTAAGAAGGGAGTTTTCTTCCTAGGACTGGGAGTGGGCACATCTGTGTGCCAGTCTTTTCCCACTTGGGTTGCAGATAGTTCTGTGAGGCCCAGGGCCTGATGATTGAGTTCCTAAGTACCCTGAGGTCCCCATCCACGTCAAGTTGCATGTTTCTGAACTGAGAGACTGCACTGGCTTCATGATCTCCCTGAAACCTGACTGCTACTTCCTGGAAGTCCTCCTGCATCCCAGCTTTCCTCTGCCCTTTCCAAGCCCACTTCCATGGCTTCTGATCTGTTGAGAGAGTGGTCATGTCCTTGTGGCTCTTTCCCTAGTCTGGGCCTCATCAGGAAGCCCCTCACTGACTCTCCTTTTCCCATGCATCCTCCTCTAGCCCTAGGGCAAGTCAGATGGTCACCCCTCATTGGAAACCTGTTCCTGGCTCCTGCTGCTTTCGCCTCTCCAGGGCTGGGGGCTAAGCGTGGGCTGGCACCCTCGATGAGAGGCACTGCCCTACTAGCCCTGTGGCTCCCCAGAGAAGACTCACTTATCAGTCCAGGGACACCAAGCAGCTTTCCCTACAAACTCAAACCCTTGCCCTGTCCCTTTGCAAGTGCTGGTCCTTCTGCCTGGAATGTCCTGAGTGCCTCTCCAGTTCTCCAGGTCCCAGCTTCCCTGAGAATTTGTCCTAGAGAGCAGTGAGGACTGCCCCATGTCTTCAGACAGCCACCTCAGATTTGTGATTGGTGGAATCTGGCGCTGCTCATGAGTGGGGCTCCTTGAGGGCAGGGCCAGGACGGAGCAGTGTTGGTGTTTGTCTACTGGGCAGGTGAGGTAGGCCAAGGAGAAAAATCAGGACCTGTGTGTCTGAGGCCCTCTCAGGCTGAGGCTGGAATGCAAAAGGGCCCAAGAAAAAGCCCCACACTTTGGCTTTTCTTCAGACAAGCTCAGGCTGGCCATCTGTTCTAAGGGATAGTGGCCCTCTGGGTGAAAGTGGGAAGTATGAGCTTCAGGCTTTAGGCCAGTGTCACTTGAGCAGCTGCAAGTCTGCAGATCTGTCCTCATTTTTTCAAAGACATCCCCCAACCCTACAGGCCATTCTCACCCAGGCCTCCCTTCTGGGTGTCTTTGGGACTGGCTTGGGGAGGTCCCACTTACCTCTCTATAGATTAGTGGCTCCCGGGCCTCACTCAATACCAGCTCCTTCCCCCGGGCTGTCAGCTCTTTGAGGATCAGCTTCTCCTCCATGGCCATCTGCAGGCGCCAGGGTAGGGAGGCCAGGACATCCTTGTTGGTGGCCACCCGCACGAACGCATAGGCATTCCGTGGCCGCCTCACCACCTCGATGTGCTCCCGTGGGATCCGCAACTCAAGTCGCTCCAGCGTATCCCTCAGCAGGCAGGCGAGCACGGGCACTGAGAACTGGGGATTCAGGTGGCCCACATAGAGCGTGTACATGTGGGGAACTGCCCTAGGGCTCGTGTCTTCGGGCAGGGACTCTTCTTGGGGGAGCTTTGGCAGGGGCTGTTTGCTCTGGGACTCCATGAAGGTCTCCCACATCTGTGTTTGTGCTGATCTCTCACTTGGGGTCATGGGGTGTCTTCCTTGGAAGGGATTCAGGGTTCCTCCCTGTTGACTACTCCTCCAAGGGCCCTGGGCTCTTAGATGGCCCAGGACCTCACAGGGGACTCAGGTGTGCCAAGGCTCCTGGGGGCCTCTCAGACTGGCAGAAACTGGTCAGGGCCACAGAGACAGAGAAGGAGGGCAGAGGGCCACCAAGAAGTGGTCTGCCACACACCTGGGCAAGAGAGTGGGAAAGGACTGAGCCAGACCTCAGAGCCTGCAGGCTGACTGAGGGTATTTGCCCAAGGAAGAGCAGGAAGGCCCAGAATTCAGGTCCTTAAAAGCCTCACCACATCCTCTTGATGACCCCAGGGGTCCTGTCTTCCATCCCCAGTCCACAGGCTAGGGGCCTCGTAAGTACCCTTGGAGTTTTCTGCCAACCAGAAGACTTTTACGGCCTCCAGGCTCCAAAGAAACCTTTTAAAGAGGGTGTTTTGGAGAAGACTTAGCCCAGGACTCAGGGCTGGCCAGCAGCCCCATGGCTGCTTTTTCCTGCCTGGTCCAAACCCAGTAGGGACTCTGAAATTAGTTAAGTATGAGGTCAGAGGGTTCTTATGCTTTTTGGCACACTTACAAAATCTATGTTCCCTCCCCAGAAAAATGGCCTTTGCATATATATATATAATTTGAGGAGGCTGAGAATGGGGTTTAGAGCTGGGCTCCTGTGCCTTGCCCCCAGGCCCAGGAGCTGTGCCTGTGCACATACCAGCCCCTCCACTCACCCCCACACAGCCAGCCTCTGGCTGGTGTGGTAGGTGCCACCAGCCTGCATCTTTTCAGGTTGGATCCTGGAGGCAGGTGGGGTCTGGGAGCCACCACGGCTGGGGCAGGGGCATTCAAGGCAAACAGGAATAGGAGGAAAGAGGCCTAAGTCCTTCATATCCTTCTGGCTCCTGGAGGAACATGAGAGGTGCCAGTTCTGAGCTCCCACAACCCCCTGACCCCTACTAGCACCTCCCAGGGCACTTAGAGCTTAGCATGGAGGCAGGGAGAACCAGGGTCCTGGGAAATGGGCGGGGCCTGCACAACTGCCTCTGTGATCTCATGAGGGTCAACAATGCCTTCTTGGCCAGCTGTGGACAAGGCCTCTCCCACACCTGCAGACATGGCTGCCCACCAACCACATAAGCTTGATCATGGGGCTCCTTCTGGGCAGCTTTCAGAAAGCAGGGGCTGAAGACACAGTTCCTCCCTTTGCAATGCCTTTCTAGGCCCCAATGCCCACGCAGGCCACCCAGTTGCCACCACTTTTGGTCCTGGTGCTTAAAACCTCTACTTCCTTTTTTGTTCTCAGGATTCCCTCCTGTGGACTGTTCCTCCCAGGGCCCTGGGCTTTCAGATGGCCCAGGACCTCGCAGGAGACTCAGGTGTGCCAAGCCTCCTAGGGGCCTCACAGATGGGCAGAAACTAACTGGTCAGGGCCACAGAGACAGCTAAGGAGGGCAGAGGGTCCCAGCTGCTCCCAGGATGGACCAAAATACATAGGGTAACTTCCAGAATCACCCCTGACAATAGGCCCTTCTCTATGCCAGGGACAAAATTTGCTATCTAGAAGAGTCCTGAAAAATAGATCAAGCGTTGTTGTCTCTTTTGATGTACAGGGGTGTTACCTGTTGTTTGGGACGAAGACATGGGTCATGCCCAGCCTCTCCAAATGCAGGGACCTGCTCCTGGCAAGTGGGGGCTTTGGTAAGTGTATTTCAACATATTCTCTCTCATGATGCTTCTGGAAGCTTCTGGTTATGGGGAGTGAGCATTGAGGACAGAGGTGATGCTTCGACTGACTGAAAGACTCCTTGACAGTGTAGAGAAGGCACCTTCCTTGCAGGCAGCCATTCTGAAGATGTTAAGTTTTGTTTCCCTTAGGGATGGAGGCAGAAGCTCAAGTGGGGAACTGGAGGAGAGACGATGGTGTGGGGGAAGGGAAGAAGCCCCAGCCCTTCATGGTGGCAGTGTGGGGCTCTGAGAAGACTGGGCAGCTACACTGTCCTTGCCCAGGCCTGGAGCCAGGTCTGCCTCAGCTGTCTCCATAGCCCTGAGAGTAATGAAGGGACAGCCTGAGGTGTCCTGGGATCCCTGAACCCTTCTTCCAGCCTTTCTCAACTGTGTCATCCATGAGGCGCTCCCACAGCACTGGACAGTTCGGCTGCAGCTGTTTCAGGATGGTTAACGCCAGTTGTGTTGGGTTGTGTGAAAAGAGACAGCTGGCCACAGAAGAGTCCTGGGGTGAAACACATGAACCAACCAGGAGTGTTCTCCTTCCTTATCTCGCTGCCTTGCCACAGGCAGCTGCTTGGCATGAGATTTCCCATGCCAAGTTGCATGTCAAAGCTTTCCCGCCCTCACTGGCAATCTCTCTAAGCCACGTTGTCACCCATTTTTCCATAGCCTTTAACAGACGTATATGAGCTGAACATTCATTTTACTTCCTTTGGGGGTAGGGGTAAAAACTGCCTTTTATTATAATCACTAAATACAATTTAAAAAATAGTCTTTTAAATACAGAAATGCATTGTAATCGAACAGGGCTCTTTACCTCATCCCAGGCTCATAGCTATGGTTTAGAAGTTGAGGTGCTTGGCAGGCCACTCATGCGGTGATGGAATTGGGAAAGCAGTATCTTTTAATCCTCTTGCTGGATGTCTGTGATCTTATTGGCAAGCCTCATTTGGCACTGAAGGAAAAAAGCTCTGGAATTTAAGACTCTTGGAATGAGAGCTGGGAACCCAAGATGGAGCACAGAGATGCAGTGGAATTCCCCTTTCACCTTCTCTGGAGTGCCCATGTGATGGTCTACACAGCCATGATCACTGAACCTGAATTGGGGATGGACATCTGCCTTCTTTCTTCCTCTCAACTCCCAAATTTAGTCTTTGCTAATTGCCCAGGGGGGCTAATCAAGGAGAAGGGGGACAGGGAAGCTCAGATAACTGTGGAAGAGACAGTAATGTTAAAAAAGCAAATTCTGGAAGGAATACTATGGACATGGCCTTTGAGCTCTTGGGACCCATGATGCTCCAGCTTTGGCCCTTAGTCCTCTCTAGCAAACCACCAACTGCATATAGATTCCTGCCTCACCTTTCATGGGTCCAGGCCCAGTCACCTATAGGGTTTCTCTGAGACTCAAGGAGCTCTGCCCCAGGGTCCATCCTGCTGTTGGCTGCTGGCCTCTGTGAGCACCTGCAGTGGCTTTGGTATTATAGGCTAAGCACCCAGTTCTGATGCCTGGCTGTCATTGTTCCTGGACTATAGGTTTGAAGCCTAATGGAATGTGGGAGCAAAACCAGATGCAATGATTTGGGGTGAGTTAGGGTAAAGAGGCTGCAAAACTCTGAGGGCTGGCAGGGTGGGGTGCCTGGCTATAAGGTGGAGTAAGCCAGCTCAGGCTCTTTCTAGGAATTGTTGTGGCATCCCATGTGAGAGCAGGGGCAGTGCATCAACTTGGCTCACCAGTGCCACATCCCAGAGAAAGATTTAAGTTCCACAAGGATGCCAATGAGGGGTGCTGTGGATACTCCTCAGGACTAATGGTCTAGACAATGGAGCTAAGTATAGAAGTCTACCTGGCCAGCAGGCAGGAGGAGTCAAAGATGGGGAGGGCTTCCAGAAAAATGCCCAGTTCTTCCCTGACCATCCCTTAGTAGAGGCTAGGCTCTTGGGTTAACTTTTTTCCCCCACTGTGGTGCTGGGGATGGAACTAGTTAGGGCCTCAAGCACATTAGGCAAGTGCTCTCCCTCTGAGCTGCACTCCTGGCCCCCTGCACATCATTATCTCCTGAAGTACTTGGTGTCTTCCTCCAGATTTCCTTAGCATTGAGTCAATGGTGTCTTCCTGCTTCGTGGGTGGGTGGAGTGCTGGGCTCCATGGAGTGGCCTTTCCTGCACCACACCACGTGTGCAAGGGCCTGCCCCAGGCCAGCCCAGCTACTTTGGATGTCTGGTCATTATTAGAATGCCTGACTTGGTGAAACAATTCCACTAGTTGAGGGCTTTATTTGGTTTTCTTTTTCTTTAATCATTTTTGGCTCTGCTTTTCTTAAATAACATTTAATTCTGACCCCAGAGGTTAGTTCCTTCTCTTCCTTCAGACTTGGCATTTAGTCACTTTTTTTAGTTCTGTTCCCTTGGAAACCAGATAAAAGCAGAGTGTCAATTGTTTCAAGGCAATATTTTTATTTTTTCCTTTCACTCAACTATTAATTTTTTGATTGGTATTTCATAGATATACATAAAGGTAGAATTCTCTGTGGTATTTTTACAGATGCACATAGTATGATTTTGTCAAATTCATTCTACATTCCTTCCCCTCCTTTCCTGTCCCTCCTCCCTCCCTCTTGATCTCCTTCTTTTCCACTGATCTTCTCCATCTTTATGATATCTGATTTCCTCCCATTTTGCTTTAGTTTCTGCCTGTCAGAGAAAACATCTGACTCTTTTCTGTGTCTGGCTTATTTCATTTAGCTTGAGGTTCTCTGTTTCCACCCATTTACCAGACATGCCATAATTTCATTCTTTATGGCTGAATAAAACTCCATTGTGTATATATACCATTTTAATCCATTCATTTATCAAAAGGCCCCTGGGCTGGTTCCATAATTTGGCTATTATGATTTGTGCTGCTATAAACATTGATGTGGCTACATCACTATAGTATGCCAATTTTAGTTCTTTTGGCTAAAGACCAAGGAGTACAGCTGGGTCATATAGTGGTTCCATTCCTAGTTTTTTGAGGACTCTCCACATTACTTTCTAGAGTGGTTGTACTAATTTGCAGGTATATCTTTTCCCTCATATCCTGGGGACCCTGAAAGCTATGCCTATCATATTGTTCAAAGAAATTTGAACATTTATTATCTGTATTTTTGATAATTGTTATTTTGACTGGAATGAGGTGAAATCTTAGTGTGGTTTTGATTTGCATTTCCCTGATTGCTAGAGTGAACATTTTTTCATATATTGTTGGTCATCTGTTACTTTTCTTGAGAAATGTCTGTTTAGTTCTTTTGTAGGCTCTCTTCACATGCATTTCCTTTGCTGTGCAGAAGTTTGAAAATTTGATGATATCCCACTTATTGATTGTTGGTTTTATTACTTACACATTAGGAGTCTGGTTAAGGAAATTGGTGCCTGTGCCAGTATGTTGGAGTATTGACCCTATGTTTTCTTCTAGCAGTTTCAGTGTTCCTAGTCTAATTTATTAAGTCTGACCCATTTTGATATGACTTTTGTGCCAATAGGTAGGAATCTAGTTTCACTCTTCTGCATATGGATATCCAGTGTTCCCAGCACCAATTTGTTGAAAAGGTTGTCTTTTTCTCCAACATGTTTTTGGTACCTTTGTGGGTATGTGAATTTGTCTCTTGTCAATTCCACTGGTCTTCTTGTCTACTTTGATGCCAATATGAATACTGGTTTGGTTACTATAGCTCTGTGGTACAGGATCAGGCACTGGGATGTCTCCAGCATTCCTCTTCTTGCTCAGGATTGTTTGGCTACTCTGGGTCTTATTCTTACAAATGAATTTCAGGACTTTTTTTTTCTAGTTCTGTAAAAAATGTCATTGGTATATAAAAAAATATTTTTAGTTGTAGACAGCCAGAAAACCTATATTTTAAAATTTTTATGTGGTGCTGAGGATCGAACCCAGTGCCTTACACATGCTAGGCAAGCGCTCTACCACTGAACTATAACCCCAGCTCCATCATTGACATTTTGATAGGGGTTGTACTGAATCTATACAGTGCTTTGGGTAGTATGGCCACTTGGACAATATTTATTCTATCAAGGCACTATTTCTTATGGTAAAAATGTCCCCTACCTGTAAATAAATTGGCCTCAAAATCCTAAACTATAGGCTTCTTGAGTGCAGTGCCTCAAAATGGCATGGCCCTCACAGGGACCCTGGAACTATGCCTATCATATTGTTGTTCAAAGAGATCTGGCAATCTTGGAACATCATGCTTCTAAGCCAAGGTGAGTCCTGCCTTCTCCTTGATGTCCATCCCCTGTACCTAAGCCATCACCTGGGCAACCAAGGAGAACAATTCTTGTTTATCCTGGTGACTGTAGCCTCTGCAAGGCCTGCCTTGTCCCACCTGCTGGCAGCTGTTTCCTGTCTGAGGGCTTCAGACTGCATCTGGCCTCCCCTATGGGAGTCTTGAAATTGAACTATTCCTTGGATGTAAGGTGAGGTACCCACTTTTAGCTGTGGAGTTTGGGCAATTACTTGAATTCTCTAAGCTGTCTTTGGGTTTATAAGATAGGGGAACATAGTTGTTATCCTAAAGGGTTGTGAAATTTAAATGAGATGATATACATAAAACTCAGCACAATAAGCACTTTCAAAATTGAACATCAGTAAAGTGCCTACTCTTGGTGATGAGCAAGTGGGGGTGTCCATTCAGCTCCATGAGGCCCAGCCTCACAGCATGTCTGGCCTGCTCAGATACAGGTGTTACCTTCAGTGTCTCGGTCTCTTGAGGCAGTAAGGAGGATGTTCAGAAGTTTGTTCCTCAAGTTCAGTCGGGCCCTCTTTGGTAGCATCTTGACTGAACAGCACAGCCACCCAGGGCCTCATGCTCAGGAGTATAGAAAAGAGGGACTATTGTAGTTTGGCAGCCTTGATCCTCGCTGCTTCAGTGACTGTGATTAGAACCTCACAGTGGCCAAGTGGACAGGATATGACCAGTTACTCATGCTATCAAGAACATCAAGAACTAGTCACTGGTGAAGGCTGGTAGAGCCTGCAGAAGTCTCATCCAAACCACTCATAGCCTGATGGGCCTAAAGGAGGGAAATGACCCACCCAAGGGTCTATAGCAAGCAGGCAAGAATCTTAGCCTTACAGTCAGGGAAGCTGGCTTCAAACTCTTCTTTGGCCTTTCCTGCCTGTGGGACCTGAACTTTTCCTTTGTCTATAAAGGGGGCTTGTTGTGAAGATTCAGTAAGATAAGTATAATTCCTAAAGAGCAGTTTGTGTGGCACAGGTTTATGCAAGTGTTGTTACTGTTATGGTCAGTGTTAGTCAACTGTCACTCTGACAAAATCCCTGAGAAAAACAACTTAGAGGAGGAAAGATTTATTTGGCGCCTGTTTTCAGTCCCTAGTTGGCCAAGTCAATTGCTCTGGGCCTGAGGTGAGGCAGAACATCATGGCAGACAGATTAGGTGGAGGAAAGCTGCTCAGCACATGACAGCCAAGAATAGAGCCAAAGATAAGATATAGTCCCCATGGGTCTGCCCCCAGGGGTACACTCCCTCCCACTATACCTGCTACAATTTCTGCTACATCTTAAATTCATACAGCTATGAATCCTTCAGTGGATTAATTCACTGATAAAGTTAGAACCCTCATGATCCAGTCACATCTCCACCTCTGAACATTACAAGCCTTCACCGCATGAGGCTCTGGGGGATGTTCCAGATCCAAACTATAACAGATTACATTGCACTGAGCAGTTGCTCCTTATACTTGCTCTCCAGCTCCTGAAAACCCTAAACTTTGTCATAAGCATGAGGGTGAGGATGAAGCCAGCTGAGGCTCTTCACAGTTGCTGGCTCTCATGCTACTTCTTACTGCCCCATATGGTGCAACTGCTAGGCTCCCCACTGTCCAGCTGCACCACAGCAAAGCCCTTTGAGGGCAGAGAATGGATTCACACAACTGTCCTGCTAGTCAGTTGCTGGGACCTTGAGGGCTTCTGGAAGCTAGCCTGTTGTGTAGGATTGCTGGGATTAGAAGAGCTCTTAGGGACCGTCTAATCCAAGCACTCATTTTATGTATGTGAAAATCAAGATGGAGAGGAGAGTGATCTGCTCACTGAATGCAAAGTGACTTAACTGTTAACTGATTAAAAAGACACTGGCATCTGTATTGGTTTTTATTTATAAACAAATTGACATAAAATAAGTCCAGATGGCAGCAGGAGCAGCTGAGCTGCTGACTTGCTTACAAGGAAGCACAGGACATCGAGGAGGCAAACATTCCAGCCTAGAGACCCTCCCCCAACCACAGGGCCTTTTTGGCCTAAAATCATTAGACCCAATCTTCTGCAGCAGTTCTGGTGAGGGTAAGGAACTGTGGTGGAGACCATGTGGGAGAGCTCCCATCCCGCAGGAGGGCTGGAGCTACAAATGGCCCACTGGGGGCAGAGAGAGGCAGACAGTATGACCCTCTCCTCCCCATGGGAGCACGTGGGTCTGTCCATTCCAAAGAGAAGCACCCTAGGCAGTGTCCTCTGAAAAGGGGCTACACCCATTGGGGGCCTCTCTGGGACCAGGGCAGGGTAGTATCCCTACTCTCAAAACCCAGTGTCTGGTGCAAGAGAAGTATTACCCAGAGTGTCTGCCCAAGTCCAGAAACAATAAATTAGCAATAAGAAAAGATCTTTTTTAAAAAAGGTAAAGGTTTGCACCATGAGTTTGTGGAGTCTGGGATCTGGTGGGAAGGCAGGCACTGTGGGGCAGTGGGATGCCACACCAAACCCAGGAGGAGAGCGGCAGGGTAGGGGGGGTCCAAGGGCTCTTCCTCTGCCACTTGGACGGTGCTCAGTCTAAATTCCTGGTGAGAGGATAGCTGGGCTTAAAAAATAAATAGAGGGGACCTCAGAGCCATGGCAGGGCTGAGGGGAAGAGCAGCGCCAGCCCCAGGCCCATATTTGCCCCTCCTTGGTCCTTCATGGAAGGACTCATCATGGCAAGAGGGGTGGGGGTAGCAGTGGTGGCTCCACATAGCCTCCTGGAGTCCTGGAGTGGCCTGAGCTCCAGTGAGGTGCCTAGGAGCAGGCTGGTAGCCTTCTTCCAAGGAGAAAAATGCCCCATCTGCCCGACCACTCCGTTGTCTAGGCTGTGCCTCCTGTTCAGAACTTGCCCTGCTTCAGCCGGTCAATGTGGAAGGAGAGCTTGAGTGCAGGCCCCAGCTTTAGACCCATATACTTCATCATCATGTCACTGCGCAGCAGAAGCAGGGCCTTGCCATCGATCTCCTGGAGATGGGGGTAGGAGGGAGGTGCTATCAGAGGCCTAGTTGGTCTGACTGCCCCACGTTCTGATTAAAGGCCACCCATAGAAGTGCCAACTGCATGGAGTATGTCGTGCTGCTGGGACACTGAAGCCTTCCTGTTCTCCCCCTTTGCCTCTGAGCATCCCTCTTCCCCAGGCATTGACTACCAAGCAGTCACTTAGATCCTCACACAAGCTTGTATTGTGTTCCTGGGAGGTGGTTCCCCACCCTCCAAGCCTAAGACCCAGCTCAACTCCATCTCTTCCAGGAAACCTCCCAGTCTGTGTACCTGGCCTGTGTTTATATTGACTCTCAACTGCTATTCTGTGACTCATCAGCTCTCCTGAGCAGCAGAGACTCCTCTGCGTGAGCTGGGCCAAAGCAGAACTCACTGAACAGCTGCATGCCCTTCAGGCCTGTTCTAGTCACTGTGAAAACCTACCTGGTGTGAAAGACATAAAGGAGCAGTGACCTACTCTAAGTACCCAAAGAAACAAAAGTATCAAGCAGCACTGGCTGAGGAGATGCAGGCTTGAGACCCAAATCAGGAGTATGGTCAGAGCTGGGGGATCAGGGGCAATGCTGCCATGGAGCCAAAGAGTCACTTCAAGAGATGTTGAAGGCTCACAGAGGAGCAAGTAGATGATGGGGGACTGATAAGGTGTGTGTGTGGGGTCACTTGCTAGGAATTCTTTAAAAACTTGGGCTGAGACCCCTGATTCTCATGCAAAGGCAGGTGGGAAAGCAAATTTCTGGGAAAAGGGACTGAGGTCCCTGTGCTTGAAGCTGAGCCCCAGTCCACAAACCCAGCAGGAATGTGGCCAAATCATCCTACACTAATTGAATAAAGTGGACATAATGCCCAGTGGTTGGTCTGAGACCTCAGATTCTGTTTCTATGGCATCTCCTGCATTCTGTTTCAAAGGACCTGGAACAAATGGATAGCTAATGCCCTTTAAAAGTCTACAGGCTACAGTGGCAAAATTTCTAGTACACATGGGAGAGGTCAGCAGAGGCACCTACATGTTTTCGAAAGAGGTCAGCATGGGGTCCAAGCTGAGGATCAGCTTCCCGGACAAACTGCATCACATCCTCGACTGTCCATGAGGAGGGGTCCCGGCTACTCAGTCGAGAGGCTTCCCGGCTTTCCAGGTATCGGTCAGACCCTGCAGGAGAGGAAGGCGCCTACCATAGCGGGTGGGTATGTCCTCACCACTCCCTGGGCATACTCAGTGGCCTTGCAGGTGATGTGCTCGGCGGCAGTCGAGCATGAGCAGAGGGACTGAGGCAGCCTTGGGAGTCATGAGTTTTTCCACAGAAGGAAAGTCAAATTGACATTAATAGAGGACCTTGTATGCCACTAAAAACCACTGGCTCTTCTCAGTGACAGGTAGGTTTGAGCAGAGGAGTGATACACACCATCTCAAAATCAAAAGGATCCTTTCAAGGTCCATGTGGATGACACATATTAGAAGGGAAGGAGTGAAACAAGAGACCAGTTAAAAAAGAAACTATAAAAATCCAGGCAGGAGACAGCTGTGGTCTACAGCAGGGTGGTGGTGGAGAAAAGTGATCAGATAGGTGATCAGTATTCCAAATTATAAAGAACCTCACCATTGTCAGTTCAAGTCACCTTTAAAAAAACCCTTGAAGGAGGTCCTCGCCATCTTTAGTTTAAAGAGAAGGGAACCCAGGTCCAGAGAGGTAAAGAAACTTGCGCAAGACCATACAGCTAGGAAGGAGATACTTTAGTGCCCTGGCTCTGTCTTCTATTCCCATTTCTGCAGACAGCTTATCTCAGGCCCCTGCTTCTCACCCTAATATGTACAACTGGTGGCTGCCCCTCAAGGAAGGCTGCTTGTCTCTATGACTAACTGAGGCAGGTGAGGCACATCCATAAGATACCAGACTAACAAACCCATAATTAATATGGATTAATGAAAGAAGACGGGATAGACTCAACATCTAAATTCTTTGAAACAAATAACTCTAGGGCCAAATAGAATCCTCTAGTCTTACAAAGGTTTTCAGGGTCAAAGAGGTTTAGACCATGACCTGGCAGACAGACTCACAATGTGTTCCATAGGAAGAGTGGAGATCCTAGGAGGCCACAGTGCATCTGAAGCCAGCGTCATGAGAGGAACCTATCTCAAAGCACCACCCAGAAACAGGCCTTGGGGAAGACAACAATCACAGAAAATCCCTACATACCTGGGGAATGATTTAGTTTCCAAAATGATTCCATACCCCTTCTTTCATTTGATCCTTTTAACACTCCTGTGGAAAGACCAGGTTGGTATCAGCAGCATATCTATTTCCCACATGAGGAATACTTTGCATATGGGAGACCTGAGAGGTGGGACATCTTACCCAAGTCACAAGGCAGAGGAGGTGAGGCTAGAATCAGCTCTCAGCTCAACCTCTACTTGAGGTCTCTTTCTTTCCCATTTTGCCACCTGGCTGGGGTTGGGGTCGGGAGATACCACAGGCTTCTTCTCCTGACTCAGTCTTCATGAAAACTCTCTTTCTCCCAAGGTCACCTTTCATTGCTGATCTTGCTGATGGAATCTATTTTTTTCATACCTCACATGTCCCTGGGCTGGGGGAGGCCAAGCTGGGGGTATGGAGATGGCATATTCCTGCTTCCCCAATCTAAGATCATCCACCTATAAAATGTTCTTCAGAGGCCAAAAATGGACCTAATCATCTGCTTTTCCTGATCACAGTTATATAACAGATATCTAAGTTACTATCCCTTGTTAAATGAAGACCTTTTTGTACTTGCTCACACTTTCTGTCCCACACCAATTCCTTCCATTATCCTTAGAAGTGATCCATTTAACTACCATGACTCCAGCGACTTTCACCTCCAGTCTACTTCAAATTCCTACTGCCAAGGCCATTGTCTGGTTCTTGCCATCACTTGAACAAGTCTACTTCAGAATTTTATTTTTTGGTAGTAGGAATTGAACCTAGAGTCCTTAACCACTGAGCAACCCACTCAGATCTTTTTTTTTTAGACAGGGTCTTGCTAAGTTGTTGAGGCTGGCCTTGAATTTGTGATCAGTCTCCAGAGGTACTGGGATTACAGGCATGTGCTACCACACCCAGCAACTTCAGAATTTTAAACATTCCATTTGCTGACACCAACCTTTCATCTTTGTAACTCTCTTGAGACTTACACGTTCAGTACAGACATTGCATCACATTCTTCAGCATTGTCCACAACCAGTAGTGTTGGGAGCTGGCGACCGCACCCTGAAAATGGAGCTGGTTTCCTGCTCCTGCTTCTTTAGCGGTTAGAGTTGTTAGAGGTAAA